CTTCTATAATCAATACACAGTCTCAACGTTCCATCTCTTTCTTGCAAAAGTAACCCCGTCACCCCATGGGGAAATGCTGTGTCTAATGAAGCCACTGTTTTGTAGCTCAGTGATTTGTTTCTTTAGCTATTCCATCTCGATGCGGCTCATTCGGTAAGGAGCTACCGAGATGGGTTGGGTTCCTGGCTGTAAGTCTATGGTGAACTCGACCTCTCTGTCCCCTGGTAGACCGGGCAGTTCATCCGGAAATACGTCTGGAAAGTCTCGGACTACTGGAATCTCTTGGATACAAACTTCCTTCTTGGGTTTACCTAGTTAGGGAAAATACAATATCAACGCACTGGGAATTAAGAAGAAAAGAATTTGTCATTAGGGAGAATCAGTACCGAATAATTTTATTAACTTGTAAATGGCTCCTCGTTGGGAGGATTAAATACAATCTTTTTATTAAAGCAGTCTATGGTGGCGTGATACGCCGCCAGCCAATCCATTCCTAGGATTACATCAAAATCCCCTGTGTCTAACCCTATCAGGTCTACCCTCAATTTCCTATCTGCTATCTCCACGGCACATGCCCTGTAGACAACCTCTCCTAGTAATGTCTCCCCCCCAGCGGTAGATACAAACAATAATGAATCAAGTCTATCAGGTGGTACACAAATTTTGGAAGCAAGAACATGTGAAATAAAAGAATGTGATGCACCAGTATCAAACAAAATATGAGCAATGTGGCCAGAAATAGTATACATACCATGTACCACGTCCGGGTCTGCATCGGCATCCTTCTGGGTAAGGTTGTAAACTCTGCCCTGGATTGGAGGCCTCCCTTGATTCTGGTTCCTAGGACACTCCCTCGTATAGTGTTGGGCACTGCCGCATATGCGACAGGTGTTGTTGAGGCGGTAGCAGGGTCGGTCCCCATGATCCATGCCGCAGTACTGGCAGATCTTCCCACGAGCTGCCCCCATAGCCTGAGGAGGGCCCTGAGCGGCAGGCCTGGGTCTCTTACTGGGTTGGACAGGCATGGTAGGCGCTGGCCTGCGGAGCGGGGCTGAAGGTCGGGAACTTCCCGTTAGCTGAGGGCGGGTGTCGAAGCTCCTTTCTATGATCTGCGCCTTTGCCAGGACTGCCGAATATGTCTCGAGCTCCATCACCAACAAGTGCTGTCTGATCGCCGGGCGGAGACCCCACTGGAATTTCCTGGCCTTTCGGCCCTCATCCAACAATGTCTCCGGGGCATGTCGGCCCAGCTCCAGGAACTTGCGGGCATACTCCGACACTGTCATATTACCCTGGACCAACTGAGCAAATTCAATTTCCTTTAAATGTTGGATGTGCTTAGGGAGATACTCCGCATGGAAAGCCGCTAGGAACTGCTCCCAAGTAACTGGTACAGGCAGGGTGGCCCGCTTGAGCTCCCACCAGCGTACTGCTTCCCCTACCAGCATGTAGGAGGCAATGGCAGCCCTCTGCTCAGGAATTACTCCCAAGGTCTCAAAGGCTCTCTCAGTCTCCGCCAGCCAGTATTGGGCCTCTTCAAAAGAGGATCCCCCCGAAAAAGTAGAAGGGTTCAGTCTCCTGTACCTCTCTATGAAGCCAGGGTCGATCAAGGAGGGAGCGAGGTCCCGAGGTAAAGGAACTGGGGCCGGCTGAGGGTGAACTGGGGGACCCTATGGTGGCGCCTGCTGATGGGGTGGGGGCACTGGAATGTGCTGTGGCGGTACCTGTTGGTACTGTGGCTGTGGTACCGGGTCGTACCGCGGCTGTGGTGCCGGGTGGTACTGTGGAGGAACAGGCTCCTGCCGGGGTGGCTCGGGATCAGCCTGCTGTAACGGGGGCTCAACCTGCGCTAGCGGAGGAGGTCCGGGTAACTCCCTTCTCTCCTCTTGCCTTCGCTGAGCAGCTACGAGAGCTTCCACCATCTCATATAATCTGTCCAAATCCTCCCGAAGCGAATTATCTTGGGCCGCTCGGTTTAGTGGGGGCCTTCCTCTCCTCATTTCTGTGTACCTGCATTTACAAGGAATGGTTGAGTAACGACCAATCGGTGAGTATTTCTTTAAAGGACTATAGTGTAAGGGATGGGTCCGAGGAAATGCGGCTCTGATACCAACTGTAACAGCCCCGGAAATATTAAAATGAAATGAGTATTTAAATATATCGAATGCGGAAGCGAGATCAAAATTTCAGTTAACATCCCTTACACGAAAAAAACCAAAAAACGTACTTAAAATATAAAAGATTAAACTAACTAAGAAAGAAACTCGAAAATAAAACTATGCGTATGACTACAGAGTCTCTAGGCATCCCCTTCGTCGTCCTCCTGCGGAACGGGCTCGGGAACCATGTCTTCCTGATCTGAAATGGTTAATTAAGGAGTGAGTTACACTAGCCCAGTAAGAACATCACGATATCTCACCGTCACGGAGATAAAGGTGGGTAGAAAAACACAAAAAAGACCAATGGAGCATAATTTACAACAAACTCGTTTATTAACATGAAAACCTTTACCATCCACTTACCTTGGTGGAATTTATGAAAACAATATGAGAAAAACAATAACATCATCATAATCATTGAATAATGTAAGCTGTAAAACATAACACTTATCACGCCTCTTGTAATTCAATCATTGTACAACATATCTTTTTCTCATTTACCAGCCTACTAGTATCCGTGGGGGTCCATAGGGGTTCCGCTACCCGTTAACCTTTAACATTCATAATCAGTTTCCAGGACCGTCCCCATACCCCGTCCGGTATGGGCGCCAAAACCATGAACCTCAATACCCCGTCCGGTATGAGGGTGAAACGGGCCGTCCTCATACCCCGTCCGGTATGGGCGCCAAAACCATAAACCTCAATACCCCGTCCGGTATGAGGGTGAAACGGGCCGTCCCCATACCCCGTCCGGTATGGGCGCCAAAACCATAAGATCTCCATACCCCGTCCGGCATGTGAGACCACAATCCCGGTAGGGTTCCCTACGGACCCGGTCCGTCCACCATCTCCCAGGATATCTAGTCAGGCTGACCCCCATAATACAATTATCAGTCTATACAATCTTTCATTTTCCTTTTCCTCAATCAACATCATCAATTCACATTTAAACAAGCAAATCGTAATTCATACCAACAGACAACATACAATATCAGTTTTCAGTCATTCAACCCATAATTAATAAAAACGTAGTATA